CCCCCCCCCCCCCCCCCCCCCCCCCCCCCGCCCCCCAACCACCCAGTACACTGTCAATCAAGTGGAATCAACGACCCTCCAAAACGCCAAAACACATCAAGCCATCCATCCATCCATCGCGTAACAACAACAGTTCACACACACACACACACACCCAGACCCCTCCCCGTGCGGCAGAGATCGACCACACACATCGCATGTATCACAGCATCATGCAAGAGGTGGAAACACGACCGTTGCCTTGGTCCCCTCCCCGACGGTCGACTGGATGTCGATCGAGCCCTCCATGAAGGCACAGTAGAGACGGCTAACAGGCAGGCCCAGCCCGAGGCCGGCAAGCAGTGGGGCGTTTCTCCCTCCGTCCACTCCCACCCCGTCGGCCGTCTCGTCAGGTCCCTCGGCCGTCGAGTGGAGGAATGACCACGCCTGAGAACCAGACAACCAAGTGGTCAGACTGACCCTGTGTGTGCGACGCGCACTGGGAGCGTACGCGTGTTAGTTCGGAGTTCGTCATGCCCCTTCCCCGATCCTCGACAGTGATGGTCACCCCGCCGTCTGAACGCTGCTCCGCACGCACACTCACTGTCGGCTGACGGTCGACATCTCTGTCGACGCTACTGGCGGCGGCATCGGTGCTGCTGGAACCATTGATGGACGCGCACATGGCGTTTTTGATGAGCTCCAGGACCACGTAGTGCACGCAGCGGGGGACGGTGGGGCGGCATGATGGTGTTGGGATGGGCATGTGGAGAGGAACGCCGTCGTCGATGTCCGACATGCCGTCGATCATCTTGACGCTGATCTGAGGGCTAGCCCGGTACTTTGCCTGTGGACGGACACAGAACAAACAACAAGGGAGGGAGACTATAAGGGTCTCTCTCTCTCTCTGTGTGTGTGTGTGTGTGTGTCGTGTCGTCTTCTGCTGGCCCACCGAGCATATGCGTCTGGCTTCGTCGACGGCGTTCCATGTGATCTGCATGGGCGTGACGTCGAAGCGAAACAGCCCCAAAGCACTCCTGCCGCTGTGCACTGGGGCACCAGTCCGAAGCCTCAGGTAATGATGCATCACAAACTCCATCTGCACAACACACACAGAGATGCACACATAAAAGCTTGTTGCTCAACCTCCGCGTCCTTGCGTTCAAGTGAGTACCTACCTGTAAGGAGCTGCAGAATATGTCTTCTATGGGTAGGGGGTGGTTGTCGGCGCCCTGGCTGTGCCATGGCTGGTGTGCGGGGGCGGTGGTGCTGTTGTTGCGGCGGTGCCTTAACCGGCGGATCTGATGCACCAGCTTGTGCAGACAAGCGTAGTGCCGCTTGCGAATGTCCTGCGCGGCACAGACACACACCAACGAATGAGATGCGTGGGCAGTCCTCCTCCCTCCCTCCTCTGTCTGTTCCCCCATATGTGCATCCACTTACCATGAGCAGCGAGTCGAAAGCCGTGCACTTGCCAGTCGGCGGCGCCGCAGTGCGCAGCAACAGCAAAGTCCTCAGGTACTCCTTGCGTATCAGCTCGAGTATCTCGTGCAGCTGCCCGCTGGTGTTCGCAGCCATGTTGCTCAGCTGCAGATAGCGCCGCGAGAGGCGTATGGGCATGTCGTGGTGTATCAGCCGCGCCAGCGCGTCAGAATCGCCGCTCAGCCGAAAGAGCCTGGACGCAGTCAGCTCCCGCAGACAAATCAGGGGCGTCTTGGCCGCCTCGTCGACGACACTCTGCTGCTGCTGCTGAAAGGGAAGCAGTGTGCCGCTGCCGTCGCCACCATCAGGGTGTTGTTGTGTGATGGCCAGAGGGTCTGCGAGGGAGGTGAGTTGGTGCGGGTGCGGGTGCGGGTAGGGGTGGGGGACGGCGGGGTTGGGCTGAAGGCGGACAGAGAAAGGGAAGGGGAACGGGGGAGGAACGACGGCTGGTGCTGCTGAGGCATTGCGGAGAGGACGAAAGCTCCGGCGCATTCTCACAAGGTCTGTGCCTTTTTGCGCTAGGGAGAATTTATCCGTGAAATCCGACACGAAGCACGCATCCGACACGGAGTCACGCTTCATTCTCAAAAGAGCCTTTTCAATTGCAGCCTTTCTCATCATGTCGCCTCGTCCCTGCGTTGTTTTGGCTGCCTTCCATCTGCTGACGTTTTTGAGCTGCCTCCCGGTGACTCTGGGCTGGCGCCACAATGTCTCCATCGGCATGAGCGTTGCCCACGCCAGCCGCGGCTTCCTCAGGAGGGATGTTCCCACGGCTGTCCCTGATGTTCTCCTCGGTGGGCGAGCAAACATCATCTTCGTTTTGCATGCATGCAATGCTTTTGGTGGCCACCATGAATGCAGGATGCCACGCTCCTACTCACGGACTCAAACAACACAGGGACGGGGAGCTGCCCTTCCTCTTCCATCGCGCGGTGGACCCCTCAGCATGGTCTGCATGCCTACGCGTGCTGCATGCATGCCTGCGGATGCATGCCTGCATGCACTGCACACGTTTTTGTTGCGTTGTCTGCAGGACACCTGACGCGATTATGGGCTCGTTTGCGTTCATAGATTACGAGTTTGAGGTAAAACTGCCGCGCAGCCTCACCGGATACGACAAAAACAAGGAAGTGGTGGAGTTTGAGACGGCAGACCACTACATCGTCGAGGAGGCCCGGGACTGGGACGAATCTCATACGGAACCCATCAGTTTACCTGGTCTCGCCTCGCAAACGTCCCCACCAAGCCCCACTTCTGGCAGCTCGACCTGACTGATACTCAACAGGTAACTGATACTCAAGAAACAGCACCCACTCACTCACTGGGTATCTCTCTGTCATGAATGAGTTCATGCATGCAGGTGTATTCAGCCCATTCTTCACTCGGGCTGCCACTCAACCACTTCACGGGAATCGTACTTGTGTATTGCCCTCAGGTGAACCAATGAGGGTACGAGACATTAACCTATGTACTTCTTCTTTTTTCTGCACTCGTATATTCTTGATAGTTCATCTTCTGGGACCCCATGTTGCTCCAGGCGGATAAGATGACCTCAGAAGAAGTGGAGGAGACATTCCTGCCACAGTGGAACATCATTACATCGTTCTGGCAAAACATAAAGTCCCTGCTCGCGCCGTAAACATTGCCATAGCCCTTCCAGCAGCAATCTGCCTTTCTTTCCACTAGTGGTTCCATCCAGCATGCTTCTTCATCCATCTCTCTCTCTCTCTCTCTGTGTGTGTGTGTGTGTGTAATGTACATTAGCGCGGTATAGTCATCCTCAACAACGTCCCGGTATGTGAGCACTGACTGAATGAGACACGTCTTTCTATTCGTAATTATTCGGCCGGTGGTTTGTGTCTTCAGGATTTCTTCGATGGCAAAGCATGCAGCTGCAGTGCGCAACCAGAGAATACGATCTGCTTGCAAGAAGGGCAGGGTATCTGCTGGGACGAGGACAGTGAGGGCCAATTTAAGCTATTCAAGCATTTCATCAACCTCACTGAAGAGGTAGGACTCCAACTCAAGCAGCCAGCATATTTCAATATCCACGGTATGACTCACGCTACGAAGAAAACGCGCAGAATACAGTCCAATTGAGACTGAGATATATATAGTGGCTTCTGCGCGTTTTGTTTGCTGCAGGAAAGATGGGCGTCGGATTGCAGCGGGTGGATTGATTTCAAGGCAACACGCTCAAGCAGAGTCGCACGCATTCACCGGAACCGGCCGAGACACCCTATTTCCTTTTCTATTCATAATGGGTTCACACGCACACACACGGGTCCACGCGGGACGTCTGTCTCTTTGTCTGTCTGATCTCGCTGGCTGCCCAGTCTGTTGGTGTGCCGCCAATAGGCAGTGATCTGCCGCACCACAGGCTGGGCTGGTGGGGTGTAGGTGTTGGCGGTTTTGCCTACACTCCCAGCACTCCCTTGCTCTTTCGACCATTGCTTTCGACTGCCTGCCTGCCCGCCTGCCTGCCCGCCTGTCTGGCTGCATGCGTGGTCCGTCTGCACATGCATGGATGACGGATTCATGATGGAAGAGCAGACAGTGAGACAATACATGGACGGATCGAGAGACACATACCGAAGCGACCATCAAGGAGTGAACAAACGCCATGCACGCATCTATAGAAACTCTCATTCACACATGATCAGCCCATACAATGTATCACCTCCTTGTTTGTCATTGTGTGGGCCCTGAAGCACGACGAAGACGCGTATGGGAGCAATTTGTGCAGCGAAGTGACAGCAGGGAGGTGCTGAATACGATGACATAGACCTGCATGTCGGTCTATGTGAGGGCCTGCCGGTGTCTTCCTCACTAGTGATGCCCCTTGTGATGCCCAATTGGCCAAAGGCTAGGCCAAAGGTGAGAGGTATGTCTCTTTTGAAAGAGCGAGTGTCCATCGCACTCTCTGCGAATAGAATTACTGTACAATTTACCCAGCGCGCAACAACAAACAAGAGCACGCGACCTGGTTCATCTGCGTCTAGTATATGTCACTCCATATCGACTTCACACACAGATGATACATCCTCAGTTGCCCCGCATAGTAGTATGAGCTTTCCTTCTGTCCAGCACACTCAAGGGCTCAGCAAAACCTGCCAGCCACACCCGCAGGCGTGGCAAGGACAGCGGCCGGCTGTCACTCACTCGCAAGGCAGACTTGAAGGCCTCAAATGATCCCAGCCCGACTGCTGAAAAGAGCCCCGAGTAGAGCACTCGCGTCTTCATACCCGCCAGGAGACTCGACATGCCTTGCTCCTTCCAGAGCGTGCGGAGGTTCTGGCCAATGCTCATGTCTTGAGACAGCTGCCGCGTGGCGATGTTTGTCTTCACGTTGTCCATTGGTGTGGTGAGGCCGGACGACACCGCACCCGCCACCGCACCAGCAAGAAAGAGATAGACGGGGAGGTAGGCGGCGGAGCGTAGAGAGAAGGATGGGAGCTGAGATGAGGGGGTCACGCAGGTTGAAACAATCAAGCGCTTGAGCTCCTCGAAGACTGAGAAACGAAGGACGGAGGAGGGGACGTTCCTCACCAGCGTCGCCCGATAGCCTCGATACACGCCTTTGATGCCGCTCTCCTTCACAGCCGCCCACAAAATGTCCACCGACGACAAGATCTGGCCCGCCCCGATAGCCCCGCTCTTGGACGCTTGAAGCTGCTGCTTCACAAATTCCTTGGGAACAAAGACCATAGCAGACACGGCATTCCCACTGGCGGCCGCCAGGGCGTTCACAAATGCACGTTGCTGAACCGGAAGAGGACCATTCTGACACCCTCCCTCGCCAGACAAACGGCGCCGCCGTGCCTCGAGAACAGACGTCGCCCGTGACTTGACCAACTCATACGCGCCGAAGTAGAGAGCAGATGACGGCAAGGCCCCGAGGACAGACGGCAAGAAACCCGAGTAAAGGGCGCCGATGCCCTTCTCCTTCCTGATGGCCCGCATTGTCCGTAGGGTGTCGCCGAGTGATGGGCGGTGGTGATGGCCCGTGTGCTCGCGCCGCCTCTCGATTTGTATGTACACCTTCACCGTATCAACAGGGTGCAGCACGGCGGTTGCGAAAGAGCCCGCCAGACCACCTGCAGGCCAACAAATCAGACAGGCAAATGCACAAACACAGACAGCATGCGGGATGGCGAGCGAGTGGGTGCAAACATACTCTTGACCTACCAGCCAGAGCCTTCTTGGCATCATCTATGTTGAGCATCGCAGCCGATAGACGGCATTGCATTGTTGCTAGCACCAGAAACACGAGTTGAATCGGCCGAAGAGGCAGTGCTCTCCATTTTTCACAATGTGATAGAGGGCGGGACCTGCACGAATCGACGAACGAATGAAAGGAATGTTCATATATATGTGTGACGTGACGCCTCCCTCATTCTTGTTTCTCCGTCCGAGCAGCAGACCCACCTGGCTCCCATCTTGTGTGGCTGCTTCAGGCGAGAGCAAGTGCGAGAGCTGCCTCTGAACGCATGAAGGAGAGAGAGAAGACAAAGGGCAACAAAAAGGACCGGCTCTTCATGGATGACAGGCAGCAGGGTCGCCTTTCACGGCATCAACCCTAACCGACAGAGAGGATCCATGCGTTGAATCCATGGCATCACCTAAGTCCCTGCCGGCTGCGGCCGACGCATTTTGGCGTGATCTTGCGGAGCACGTGCAGCGCATGTTCAAAGACCACCCTGACGCCGCCCAGCAGGCCGAGCGGTTCCTGCAGAACTTCAAGGACTCGCACGTCAAGACCGTCGCCAAGGTGAATCTGGAGCAGGCGGAGCAGCTGTGTGGCCAGGCGATGCAGTGGCTGGAAGAACAGCAGAAGGGGCAAGGACTGTAGCGAGTGAGCGGCTGTGTGTTTCTTGCGTGTTGTCTTGCACTGCTAGTTTGATGCACCAGTCCCGTGTAGACAGACGTCTGCAGCTGAGCTGTTTCACCTCACGCGACAGAGCGAACTGTGGATGAATCTGAGCTCGTCATTTCTACGCTAACAACACAACACAGACACAGACACAGCGATAGGCAGCTGGTGAGTGATGACTGAAGGCACGTAGCTCTCTTACACGTGGCAACCATGCACCCATACCTCGACAGTCTCTTACACAGACAACCTCGGACTCTCGAGTAACACACTGTCGGACTCACCGCACAGCCACCTATCCGTGCAGAGAGTGCCACGAGTGCATTCATATCTACACACCACACCCACTCAGTCTGTCCCATCTGTCCCATCCATCCATCCATCCATCCATCCATCACACAACAGCATTCTTCATCTCAATCCCATGAAGCTGATCAGCCCCGCTCCCCTTCCGCTGCGCCTGCCCTGCGTGTGAGTGCCTGCCCGTATCGATGGCCTGCACCAAGAGGGGCGGTAGATAGGGGTCACCCCTGTGTATCATCTGTGGGCACGGCAGCGAGGCAGCGGCCGCCATGACTTGCTGCGACGGTGGGGGGATCACCGTCGTCGCCGCTGACGCATCCGTGGGCAGCCACAGCACTGGCACAGTGGTGGTCGTCGTGGAGTCGCTCGTCGTCTGCAGTTGCGTCTCGACCACAGACGAGTCCAGCGATATGTCCTTTGGGGCACTCACGTGAGCCTGGAAGGAGGAAAGACCACACGAATGCAGTGAGTGCCCCTCCGGCCCATCCATCTACTGTCGGTAGGCTCACCATTGAGTAGGTCCCGTCACTTGAAGGGGGGTTCGTTGCCACTGCCGGGATTGGCCGACGCTGCACGGCACACAATACATTACAAACATGATGTGCATCGTTGGGCGAATGGCCTTCCTCCATTGAGTGTCACCCACCCACCAGGAGGAATGCGAGGATGTCCCTGAGTGAGAGTTCCTCACGCAGACACACATACGGTGGCTGGCTTGGCGAGTGCGTGTGTGCGTGTGTGTGTGTGTGTGAGTCTGTGTCCTCACCTCGAGACCTGGGGGAAGCACTCGATGAGTACCTGGTGCTTCGCATTGGGATACAGCAGTATCGGTGCCGTGGGGAAGGTTGACCGCATGAACTGCCAGCACTCCGAGATGGGCGTCACGTCGTCCTCCACACTGATATATCGACGATCGACAACACAACAACCAACAACACGATCATTGATCAAATATCCCGTTGGTTGGTGCATCCATCTCTTCTCCGTCTGTCTGTCTGTCTGACCCCCATCCGAGAAGCACAGGAATGTCGAGAGAAGCAAGCTGCTCAAATGGGTCCGGGTTGTCCCTGTCACAACAGATAGATAGCAACAACAATGTCAATCAATGTGTCAGACAGGCTGCGTGGGCGGGGCGGGGTGTGAGCCTACCACAGCGGCATGCCCCTCGCCACTCGCAGCAGCGTTTCGACAGTGCGGCCAAACTGACATGAGAAACAAACGCACCACATCGCACCATATCGCATCACACAAAGCAAAGAGAGATAGATATCCCCGACTGCTGCATGCATGTATGTATGTATGTCGCCCCCTGTGTGGTTCCTTCCTCACCCTCCACACATATCTAGTATAGGCCAGATGCGCCCGACCAGCGTGCTCACTGCTGTCATAAAACAACTCCTGACACACACACACACACACGCACACACACCAACACACACCAACACTCGCATTCCCTTCCCGTGCGGTTCAACCTTTCCTTTCTGCTCCCTCACTCACCGACCCACCATGAAGTCGTCCCTTTTGACACAGCACCTCGAGGCACAGTTGCGAGCCACCGGGATGATGCAACACCCACACGTGTCCAGCGCGCGACTGACTCATTCATCCAAGCAGCCGAACGAAACGGACAGAAATAAGGGAGCAAGAGTGAACGTCGGTCGCCGACGCAAGGCAGACAGACAGTGGTTTGGTTTGCTGGCTGCGTGTGCCCTCACATTCATACGTACTTACATGGCGCTGGGTTTGCCCCTGAGCATGCCTGCCGGCCCCAGCAGCACCACGCCATCGATTCTGTCTCGATACGCAAGTGCACTCAACGCTGCACACAATATCGCACACCCACACCCACACACGCCCGCCCAGCCTGCATGCCTTCATTCCCAATCCATCATCTGTGTGTGCCCTTCCTTACCAGCGATGAGTCCGCCCATGGAGAAGCCGATGATGCTGAAGCGGGTCTCCCCGAGCCCGCACTTGTGCAGCAGCTCACCCACCTGACCCACAAACACCTCCGGCCCATAGGATGTCATCTTTGGTGTGGATGACATCCCATGGCCGTACAGGTCTGTGTGTTACCATAGCAGAAATGCACACAGGCACAACAATGCACACACGCGCGAACGCACTGACCGTTCGATGCCATTGGCCCTCCGGAGCTTACCGAATCTCAGCACCCTGTAGCCGTTTGCGATGAGATGCACGGCGAGATCTTCATACTGGCCCATGCTACTGTTCAAGCCGTGGATGCACACGCACAACGGCGCTCCCTCCTCGCCCTCGAGCGTGTAGTTTATGGTGCCATGCTTGCCGATGACCCGGGAGCCAGGCTGGAAGGGGTTTTGCCGCCTCTGGAAGAGCTGACGAGCGCTCCTCTGCCGTCGGGGCTCATTCATTCCCTTCTTAATCTGTGCGAGCTTAGAGGCAAGAGCTGCAGCTTAGCTTTCTCTGTCGATTCCGAGTAAGGGGCACCCACTGCGTGGGCACCCCGGGCCGCGAATTGGGCGGGGGTCGAAAGCAGCGTGCGAAGTGGCGGTGAATTATGCGTCACAGAGACGTGCACAGCACGAGTGTTGGCGAGAAGCACACCGACGCATGCAACA